CAAGCTAGCAGAAGCAACCAGGCGCACTACCACTGCGCCATCCCCCCAGGATTCATGCGGAATATGGCAATATATACTAGGGCTAGAGCACGTGCGCACCTCTGCCACTTGAATAGGCACCTTCATTCAATGAGAAGTTTGAATATCACTGTGTCGCCTGAAGTGTCAGTGAACGGAAGACATTCACCGTGTGTGCGGAGCGTCTTTACTGTCAGCATATTAAAACATCTTCGCCGAGGGAGGTACAAGTTTGAATGGCGATCAGCAAATGAATGCTGCTGAATACATGTATAAGTCAAACTTTATTCACCCAGTGAAGAGAGTGTCGAACTACAAAAAGGCCGACCTTCCTGCAGTTGTAGCATGAAGGTATATATAGTGGATAGTCTGACAGAGAGTATACTTCTGTATATTCTCAAATGACTGCATTGTGGACAAGTGATAAGAGTAACGTAATATCTATCATCAATATTTGCTTGAATGCTGTGATGGTGACCCTAGAGTGATTCTCACAGTGTTCATGCAGCATGACGTGAGTCTAGTTGTATACTTGATTCATCACACCTGCGTGGGAATCACTCCAAGAAGTTATTCCGCTAGCGGTCCATGGATTTGATAAGTATAAAATACAATAGCATTTACATTGATGGATTTCTGATTGATGAAAGTGTATGAAGTTGGTAGATATCCCCATCCGGCCGATGAAGGCTTCTCCCACAGACATAGTGTACCCATATACTCGTGGGATACTACTAAGAGAATAGTGCCCGTATGAATGTAATGAATGAGGAGCCTTTGCTGGAAATGATCTTCCAACAACAATAAAGTGAAAAGTCATTGAGCGCGAGCGCGACCCGTTTCTCCGGCACTCTATGATAATGCTAAAGTTCCCCACTCTTCATTCAAACCAGCAGCTAATGCTTTTCTTCCCTTTTCTTGCTAATATTTTCCTTGGCTCCGTCCTTCCACTGGAGGTATCTCTTCTCACTCAGACGCTTCAGAGCCTCAAAAACCCACTGTTGACAGTTTCACGTGGTGCTTACGTTATCGACGGGAGTACTTTTGATGGTTTCAAACACTTTCTCGTAGTTCTCTTCCAAGAATGTACCGGCGACAATAGATTCGTAGTGGTGAGGGGACTTTTGAGGTTCCTTGTCGTACATAGGTGGTGCGATAAAATAGCCCGCGCCACCCTTGTCATCGTGAATTTGCAACATGACTTTCCTGAGATTGCCGCCACTGATATAGATAGCCCAATGGCAGGGGCCACGAATGTCAATGGGGGCGTATCTAGCGACAGCTACGGTGGGAGTGGACATGATCGAAGTCTTCGGGAGTAAATTTAGTGATTATAGGACTGGAAGCTACTTGAACAAAGGCTGTATGGAGTAGTAGTAGATTGTGGTTGGATTACAATGAATTATGCGTACCTAGGCTACTTATAGTGGCCCTTAGATTAAGCTTATTTGACACTTGCCTTGCCCCAGGTCGTGGTCTGGTATGTCTCGTCATAGCCAAATCACTGTGTGCCAACTGTGACTGTTAACAAGACGGCTTACCAAAATCGGAGATACGAAACCCCAACACGATAATTCTGGTTGTTGCAAGTGGATCAGTAGCGAACTGAGTCAGATGCTGAGCGCTAGGCCACACCCAACACCATACTGCGGGCTAGGCTGGAGCCCAAAGTGCGAAACACAATAATGCTAGACTACTCTCACCTTCTTAATGCACATTTTCACAGATAATGCGCTGTCTCTTAGCCTTAGGGTTTACGAATTAATAGCATACATACATGATAGGCAAAATTGATTTGAAGACAGAAAGCCCTGAGGCCATGTAACGTTAAGAAGACACCAAATGCAACGCTTTTGCAGATGATGTGTGTTACACGTACTCATAAGCTGAACACTGTGGATCGACCCTGTTGGCAAGTTGACTCTCTTCGAGCATGAAGCAGTGCTTGGACGGTTGTTGGGATCTGCGGATGACGACAAAGTGGGAGTCAGAAGACTCGTCGAGAAGAATTGGCCGCGAACAAAAGTGGCATAGGCTTAATCGTAGTCCATTATCGATGACTAATATTGCAACAGCATATGAACACTGATGAAATGACTCCAAATCCACTGTGTGGAGAAATCCAAGCTCGGGGTCTATCTGTCGCTCTTACTTGTTCCCCTAGTACATGGACGTTGAGCTTGGGCGACAGGCAACGTGTGTTCCCTCTACAGTTGGCTTGTTAGTAAATTATATGTAATGCACAGGTGCAGAAGAGGGAAGATGCTGGCTAAAAGTTCCAGATGAGATGGATGATAAGAATTATTTTCTCAGTCGAATTGGGTAGGTAAGATTGGTATATGGACGAGAAGAAGCGATGGCGATAGAGCTCTTGCTATCAGCTCTGGTGAAAGATGTGCCAAAGGTGAAAGTGAAACAGTATACAGCCCATACTGGGGAGTCGACAGTAGATTGCACAGCGTCCTACGGCTTACGTTCGCGATAATGAAAACTTACTACTTGATTCCACGAAACAAGACTGAGGACACATCCTCTTCACCCCACCCCACCCGACATTTGATATTTGCATTGCCATCTACTTCCCCGATTAATTCAACCCCAAGATTCTAGTACTCTATCCCAGCCACTGAGCAAGCAAATTATCAATGGAGTATTCCACAGGATATTGCCCAATAGCATCCGTTGGGAGGAAGCCAATCCAGTCTCTCAAAGGGCCACGCTGACTAGCCAGACTCACTGCTTTGACGAATTCCCAAGATTCTGGATACCAACCTGCAGTCTCCCAATCGATGATTGAGGACACCTGAATGCTTTTGTCTTTTTTCTGTGGCACCCCCGTCTCCCCGTCTGCTTTGTCGGATTGATTGCCGTCTGCCATACAGACTATTATGTTTCGAGGATGTAAGTCGCCATGTGTCATGAAAATACGGTGGTCGTCGCTCATAAAGGACCTTATCATCCTGATCCACGACGTTTCTGTTCTGTGGGGCTCACGAACAAGGAAGTCGTTAAACTCCGCCTCAATCCGAATAGGCCCGGAACTAACGCGTGGCATCCTTCTCATATCTTTGCACAGGCCTGATACAAAACTCTCAAGGCCAATACCTGATTCAGGCAGTGGTTGACTTCGAAGGGTCCGAAAGATGCTGTTCAACTGCTCTTGCACACTTCTCTTCTGTGATATGTCGAGATCTGACCACGCACTTTCAAGTGTCACGCCCTGTGCCCTTGTCATGAAAAACCACGACCGGTTTCCGTTTTGCAGAACGCCCAGGTTGTGAGGAATCGGCAGATTGGGGACATGAATAGAGAGGTACCGTATGTTATCGATATGATCGTGATCAAGAGTGTCCGAGACTTTGACGACAACATTCGATGATATGGCAACAACGAAGGTAGAGTAGAGCTCGAACAGCACTTCTTCGCCTCGTATGGCTTGGTTCAGTGCTACGACTATCTCTTAGAGTGCATGGCTGAGAGGCTCATCGTGATCCCCAGCCACTTGTGCTATAGCCAAGACAGATTGGTGTAGAGGGTGGATGACTTTGACGGAATCGTCATCCTGCAGGTCTAGTAGTCCTGTTGCGACCTTACTTGGGGGATCACTGCTGATTGTCTTTTCCGTCGGACCAAATGATTTGGTGAGTCCTTGAACACGGATGGGATACGATACAGCCTCTTGCTCCAGCAACCCTGATATGTCTGCAGCAGAGTCTTGTCCTAATAATGATTTTAACTGGTTCAGCGTTATGCCGTTTGCTATAATGCGTGCTTTCTCCATGGTATCTTGATTGACAGGACAATCCATTTCTCTTGAGCTCACCATCTCCGACACATAGAAGAAATAGAATACCAAGGTATGCGCTTATATAAACGACGTTCAATGCCTTCATGAGTGTGAGGAGTTGCTTGAGCGTTGATTAGCGACGTTGGAAGGTGGGTCAAATAAGGCCAAGTCACTATTGTGGTTTTCGAAATACCTTGAGCCGCCTGGATCTGGTTAGCTTGGTGCCCAAGAACATCAACTCCCATAGTAATTTGTTAGTAAATTAATGCAGCAGCCGTTTCCCACCTCCAGAAGCCCATGAAGCTAGTCCTGTACTCTAAATCGTTCGTGTATAGCGTTTTGTTTGTGTGGAGCTTGTTGCGAGCTCAATCTAGCTGCTGTTGGGATGCCGCCCAAGCGCCAGCGTAAGCCGAAGCAGCCATTCGATCAAGGCGTTAACCCGTCCTCCCAGAAGCGTAGAGCGCCAGCAACTAGACAAAATCCTACCCATTTAACGCCTAAACGTGTCCGCCGTGAGGCGCTGCCGTCGCCTCCAGCGACTGCCCCGCCGCGCCGTCAAAGCCCGTTGTCCGAGCCTGAGCTGCAAGCCACCCAAACAGCTGCCTCCGCGCAAGCTGAAGATATCGTTGGCGAGGATGAGGATACTTTCGAGGATGGAGATGGCGATCCGCTGCCTGAGGATGAGGATGAGATCGCTGCTAAGGGCGCTGCCGGTAGTGTTGAGGATGAGGGAGAGCCAGCGTACCGACGTCAAGAAGGCACTCCATGGCTGCCTCGCTCATCGCAAGCGCTAGAGGATGAGGTTAATCCTGTACTGCGCGTTAGGTGGAGGGCTTGCCTTGGTGGTGATATGGAGAAACACTTTATTCCTGAAGCTGCCGATAGCGAGCACGGCGTACGGCTGTACTCGCTGCATTTCGACGACCTATGGCAGTGGGTAGATGACGTTGTTGCAGAATTACGGCCAAAAAGAGCGAAGATCTCATCTGTTTGCACTGTTGTTTACCCAGCTAAGCAGGCCAAACGCGAGCGCGCGATAAAGCGATTGCGGCGAGGTGTTGATGCAACGTGGAATAGCTTTCAGCGCCTTGTTGTAGAGGTTGATAACTATGTCAGCGAGCCAGTAAACGTCGATTTCGAGCTCATCTTGGCTGAAATTCCAGGGGAGCAGCAGCCGTTGCCAACGGTTGTCGACGGTCCTCGTCGACGCACCGCAACGGTGATTCAAGAGGAGGGGCTTGCTGGTGTAATAGCAGCTGAACAAGCAGGTAGCGGGCATGCTATTGCTATCCGGGATAGATGGCGCTGTACAGATACCCATTGCGAGAACTATCCTTATTGCTGCTGGATGGCGCCAACAGCGAGGCAGCCAGCGCGCTTCGAAGATCACCTCTTTGTCAACGGCAACATTATCTCCATGTGGGCAAGAGCAATTACAGCGAGAAGGGCAACGTACGATGAGCCATCTGATGATGTACGGCTTGCAATTTTGAGAGCAAAGGACCTGCGGGTGCATGAGAAAACGCGCAAGTTGCGGGCGGCTGGAGATGGCGACGATGATATCAAAAGCTTAACAAAACTGCTCATCGTTGGACAGCTTGAGCGGATGAACAGGCAACCTCAACAGGAGTCTAACTTGCAGGCAGCTGCACCAACGATAACAAGAGCTGAGGTATCTAGTGCATCTCAGTGGGCGCCTATCCGATATGATCATGAGCAGGAGATTAACGAGCATACTAGTAATTTCTTTAACTACCTTAAGTTAAAATTTCCTACAGTTGGAGAGGACATTAACGAGCTTTATAAGACTCTTGTTATTGACGGAGCTATGGATATCAACCTCTTGATGCAGCCATCTGGTGATATCTTGAAGTTGTGGACGCAGCATTTCAAGCAGCCTCCTGGCTGGTTTTTCACGCTACAAAACACTGCAAAAGAATGGCAAGCTGGGTACCAGGGTCTCACAGATCGTAACTGGAGACGAGTCGAACGTTGTAAGAAAAGAGAAGAGATTGCGCGCAAGAAATTGGTGGTTGAACCGTCTAGCAGTGTTGTGGAGGATGATGGCGAGAATGCTTGAAGCTTAGTGGCCTGAGCGTTTTTGGTGACAGCGGCCCGTGCCCGCTATAGTGTTGAGGTTTTTCAGGCGTTTCAAATGCGCTGCAACAATAGTCTATTTGGATAGCCCTATGTACAACACTACAACGTTATGCGATTATAACAGGTTAACTTCCTAAGATAGTTCTATATGTATAGAAATAGCTCTTATTTTTTTAGAATTATTAAATCGCTTTTGTGGGTTGCGCATTAAGGTGTAATCGTTCGCATTTGTATGGTATCATCTACCTATAGAAACGTACTGTGGCATCCATTTAAAAGCACAATTAATAGGGATAGCCACACCTATGGAACCAGCTTCTGCAGTTAATATTACAGCACACCAGCTGCGCTGCATACTCAAGAAAGACCCCAAAGTCAATGAAGTTCTCCGCTTGCGCTGAATTCCTTTTCATCCACCCCTTGAGCTGCTTAAAGCTCTTCTCGATGGGGTTGAAATCTGGTGAGTATGGCGGCAGATACTCAAGGAGTACTCCAGCACTTTGGCAAAGCACCCGTACACGCTCTGATCGATGGATGGAGGCGTTATCAAGCACGATTACTGAGGCTGGCCCTGGGTGAGGATTGCAGAACGGCAGCACTTGAAACTCTAAGAAGTCTTCTAGGATCTCAGATGTAATCGCGCCTTGAAAGATCTTATAGCTTATGTAGCCATCTATCGTCATGGCTGGCAGCAGCGACCACCGTTCTGATCGCCTGAAGCTGTGTGATAGCTCCACCGGCTCCCCGATTGGAGACCAGCCATACTTGCGGTCGCCCGTACGCTCATTGCAGGCGCTCTCGTCCAACGCAACGATCTGCTCCGCCTTATAGTGTTGCGCCATCCTGGCAAGATAGAGGCGGCGGAGTGGCTCACTCTGCTCCTTTGCCCGCTTTGTTGCAAGCTTGCGAGACCATCTCATCTTCTCTAGCTCTCGGTAAACGCTCGCAAGGCTTATCCTAACGTCGTACTCGTCGTACAAGAAGTCCCTCATCTCATCCATGTATGCGCCCGGTGAGCCATTGAGGTATGCCTGAAGGCCTTCGCGCTGAGCTTGCCGGAGTATAGATGGCCGCCCAAGTCGAACGCAGCGCGGCGGATAAGGCACGCCCCAAAACTCTAAGCTCAACCTCAGCTTTGCTACTGTGTTACGGCTCGCACCTGTAGCTCTAGAGATGGCTCGATCACTTTCGCAGGCAGCAATTCGGTCGAGGATAGCCTGGAGAACAGCGGGCTGCAAGCGGTGGCCGGTGCCTGGCATCGCGATGAGATGGGCTCGAGAAAATTGCAACACCAAAAACGCGAGTCAGTAGAGGCGATCGCAGCAAACAATGAACTTCAAATACGTTGTGGGTGTTAGAAAGCGTGGCTGCATCGATTTACTAACAAATTACTATAGGAGTTGATGTTCTTGGCCACCAAGCCAACCAGATCCAGGTGGCTCAAGGTATTTCGAGAAACACCCATAGCGAGGCAACCCCAGCCTCAGAGCTAACTATGTTTGGCGCATGAGCCCGCAAACACTGCTTATGACTCCTTCGATGTTGACACCGACTTGTGTGCAACAAAGAAGATCTCGGGTGATGTAAGCCCTGTATTAATGAACACAAGACTCAATATCCTGAGCGTTGGAAAACGCAACGTTCCCTGGCTGCATAGGTAATGTACCGTCACAACAAAGCGGTAGCAAAGGATTGCCTGGAAAGCTTTAATATATAAATCGCCTCTCTGAGATATTACGCACCCGACAGTCTATATACTGTCCACCCCGTTTTTTACCTGGTATCTATATCCAAACCATCATAAGTAAATTTACATGCATATTTCTCGATTCTTACAACAATTCATTCACCGAACATTATAAGTCCTTCCCCTTTTGAAACGAGCTCAACATCTTTTTCCTCATATATCTTTCTTGTCTTAAGCCATGCGAAACGTCTCCGCGCTCCACCCATATGCCCTTCCCAACCGCCTCCCGAACCTCCTTGCCCACAAGAACGGTATTTTGTTACTAGGATGCGGCTCGTGGAACTGTATGCTTCGCTCAAGGCCAATATCCGGCGTCTGGGGCGTGAAATTCCATGCCGAACCGTGTAACTTCTCGGTGGAGAAGCCCACGGATACCATCGAGTGGAGGAAGTCGGCCCAAGGGAGTTCCCCAGGCATGTCGGGGTTATTTGGTGAATGGAACAACGTCCGGAAGACCTTATGAGCTCGCTTGTCCACGGTGAAAAACGCCGGAACCTCATTGGACTCATGGGGGATGCCGGGTTTCGTTTCCTCGGTCGGAAGTGCGCTACTCCGGGTCTTTGCCTTTGGCGCTTTGTCGGAAAGGGAAGCGCGGTCGAATGTTCCAGTGACTTGTTTGGTGGGGTCGTGGAACACTGTTGAAAAGGGCTGATATACATAGTCGTCTTCTTCGCGGCGCGGCTTGCTCTTCTCGGGCTCGATCCACTCGGGAGTTCTCTGGATGGCTCGATCACTGCGTAGCAAGTGAGATATCAGATCTTGCTGTGACTTTCCAACACCCCTCGATTTGTAGTGTTGATCGACCGCTTTCCAAAATAAGTCAAGGTTCGCTTCAGCCTTGCGCATAATCTCGACGTTCTGCTTGTTGCGTCTCCGCTGGACTGGGTAGTTGAACTTTCCGTCACTTGGGTCAACATATCGGTAGACCTGGGATCCTTCAAACTTGGCGTTCAACACTGGGATCCACTCTTGGAAAGACAGATTGTAATTGCGTCGCGGGGTGCTGTCGTCTATTTCCATGTCGTCTTCAATCTTGCGTGACCAGGGCTTGAAAAGATGCAGCTGATGCAAGCACTCGGAGACTACTGCCAGAGACGAAAGCCTGCTGGCGACCCAAGGCGAAATCAGAGCATTGACACTGCTATCGGTTTCCATCAGACGCCCTATCTCATCTGTCACGGTGTGCAAGCCAAAAAGACGAAGCTGATCGTCTTTGAACAGAATGTCAAAGAGGGGTATTATACGCGTGACAGCATGGTTGTTTCGCGGTGGCTCATACATTACTCGCATCATGGATGTTCGCGGGTCCTGGGGTTCGCGAATGCAGAACTGTCGAAGTGGTGGTGATGGAAAAAGACCAACTTGTAAATTCTGGACGAGGTCGACTTTCGCAGCGTTTAGAAGGTAACGGAGGTTCTGGAAGGCCATCGACAGATCTGGAGGTAGGTTGACTCCGGGCTTGATCCGATCATGGTGTCTCGCATGCAATGACGCCAGGTTGTTGATCTGTCGAACTATCTCATCAAACGTAACGAACATGAAGTGTGACTCATTGAGGGTGAAACCAAGGACACGATTCCAGAACAAAGGACGTCCGGGCTCTTTCAGAGTTGGATGCTCCTGACCTTTAGTATCGGGGACCTGTTCCTGGCGATGCACCGATGCCTCTTCCATTACTTCGGCAAAGTAGCCGGGATCCTCGCGAAGAGCCCATAGATGATCTTCTCGTGCGTTGCGCTCAGCCGACGCTATAGCCTTCAAGCGGGCGAAATCGAGATGAGCAGGAATGCGGTATGGAGCTTCTAGGGCAATCGTCTGTAGCGACGTGGTATCTCCTGTACTTGGCGGCGGCCCAGGGTTGGGAAAAACGTCGCTGTCGATTAAGGAAGGCAAGTCCTGGAGTAAGAGCTTGGACCATGTGACGAGGAACGCCAAGATGCGTTGCTGAATTTCCAAAGCCTGAAGGCCATCCCCGGGATGCATGCCGACTTCGTTGGTCATATCATCGAAAGCATTCTCTTCGTCGTCCCAGGAGATCAACTCGCCATATCTATCGGCGGTCTCCCCCCTGTGGAAGTACATGGTGTATTCGTTCAGAAAGGCCGGCATAGTCATGCCACTGACTTTACCAAATGCTGCTTGTTCGAGATCCGAGTGGATGAACTCTCGAGGATGATGTCTACCACGGAAGTGGAGGAGAAGTAACATGGTCTTTCGTTGAATGAGGTCTTCGAGATTGATGTATGGCCACAAGTAAGCTTCCTTCGATTTCGCACGTCGGCGCCATGCTTCGACATCTGGTCGGTGGTGGGTTGACATGTTCGGCCACGCCTCCAACAGCAGCTTCTTCTTCTGCGAGTTGGTCTTTTTGCTCCATCTTGTGCGTATTGTTTCTTCGTGTCGCTCAACAATCTTGTTCAATGTTGCATAGTCCTTGAAGAGTTTTGTCGCAAAGTGACGTGCGTCCCGGCGTACTTCCTCGGGGGATGGAAATGAGCCTGGCATAGGCACACCCGGAGGTAGATTGTTGAAGAAATTGGACATGTCCATGAATTAAATCTTCTGCACCTATGCGGAGCCCAGATTGTACTATGAGAGTGTTGGTTGCTCTTAGTTTCGAGCCACCGTACGTACGTGGCGAGCACGTGACTACGTGCGTGGCCCGTGCCGTGGGGTGGGATTCAGTTCGTACGCGAGCTGCAGCCCACCTCCTCTAATCAATCATAACCATCTACTTCAACTCGTTGCAACGACCGTTACTTGATTCAACCTGACCTTTGCCGTATCAACAGAGAGCTTTAGTCTGGGATCGAATTTTGGTGTTTTTGTCGATATTTGGTGGTCGAATGTGTAATATTGACTACGTGGAATGGCGCTAAAATGTGGGAAGCTCCAGCCTTAAGAATTATGTAAAACAAAAAGGTAATTACCTCCCATAGTGCCATAATACCAGCCAGAGTATTCAATACCTTCACGCACATCAAGCTTTCGTAAAATCCATCTTCGGCGCACCACCCTCCTCAGTCCCCGACCCATACTTCCTAACATGCTCCTTCGCAGCCCCCTTATCCTGTTCAAACTCCTTCAACTCAGGCGCATCCATATGCTTAACCACATGATCCGCCTGCCACTTCTTAAAGCTAAACCCCACGCCCTCGTGGCTATAATCCTTATCATTCGCCTGATCCTTATGGTACTTGATCTGCATAAACTCGCTATCCCTGGTCGCAGGATCAAGCGACAGGCTGACGAGACCGGTGATGGTTGCTGTTTTGGGGATGAGGCGGAACGTCCAGGATTGCTTGTTTTTGAACTGGATCATGTCGTCGTCGGAGCGGATGACTTGGTAGGATTCGTTGATGGAGGCGGAGAAGAGCTTGGGCAGTGCGAACCATTGGCCTGCCATTTTGTAGCGGTCGTTTGCGTAGACGAATTGGTCGTCGTAGACGCAGTCGGGTGTGTAGCGTTTTACGCGTGAGACGGCGGGTTGGCACGAGTAGAGTGCTATGATCTTTTCTTCACTTAGCATGTATGAGTATAACTGGTAGGTAGTTTACATACATCATCGACCAATGCTTGTCGTTGTGGGCTCAAAGGTAGACTCTTGCTTGGGTCCGGCTCGTAGTCCTCACTTGTGGCTGTTTGCCTAGGCTCGAATTGCTCGCCTGGCGCATCGCTCGTGTTGGGAAATCCAGAGTTTGCACTGCTCACAATGTCGCCTGTGGCCTTTGTCGACATGTCTGCTCTTTGTTGCCGTGCGGCTAACTTTGGACCTTGGTCGATAGTGGGGTTCCCGTGTAATGATTGTTGCTCTGCGTTCCAGAGTTGTACGGTAAGTGCTTTCTGCGGGTGCTTGAGAGCAGGTTTGCTGAGAAAGTTTTTGAAGTTGGTTGATAGAAGTTTAGATCGTGAGCCGCTTGTTGCTGCAGGCATGGGATTTATGTTGCTATCGGATATCGATGTTGGTGGACCCATGGCCGCGGTTATGTATGTCGTGCTTAGGTGTGCCTTAGCTTGACATGTGCATGCAAAAGTAAGATGACGATTGATGGATGCCTAAATGACGAAGGTGATGATTCATGGACTATGGAAATCGGGGAGATGATCTGAATAATAAGGTGGTGGCGCTAAACAAAGACCGATGTTTTGCAGCTGAGGTGTACCATCTTGTATCATGCAGAAGCGCATGGCCATGAGATTGCGATCAGGCTTATTTTGTGGGGAAATTGCGTATGCCATGAGATTTGCATGTTGGACAGGCGATGCGGGTAAGGCTGATCGGTTAATACGGCATGACGTATTTCAAAATACCCTTTTGGGTAGGTGTAAGGACTGTTGATCACGGTGTTAGCGCGTATACGCTCCCATGCGCTAGTCACTCCCAACACACCTGATTCAACAAGCGTTGTCTGGAAAACTTTCCAGCCAAGTCAAGAGGAAATTCAAAAGTTTGCGCAACAGGATTATCGTAAGCTGCAGTTTTAGATAGACATATGCATTGATTTTCTTTTCATCATTATCGCTCGATAACGCCAATAGTGGCCGGTAAAGTGCTTTTAGGTGGTTCCCCACTGTACTCGATCTCGTATGTATCCCTGGGATAGGTACATACTTCCCATAAATTTATAAAACACCCGCAGAACTTCCATTTGGCTTCTAAAAGAAACATGAATAATACGATAAGTCCCTAACAATCACTAGGTTGCATCAGAATGCCCAGCCCAGCGGACGTACTGAAGGAGGCCAAAGTCCGCAGATATATAACGTCATGAGAGCTCAGTCCGCTAAATAGCGTCCGTGTCAGGTAATCTATCCGACTGCCGTACAACACCTGTAAAACGGCCTGTGCCTCCAGGAAGAAGTCCATCAAACTCCACTGCGCGCGCTGCTTCTTTGTCCTCCCAGCCAGTTTGTAGATTCCAGCCAGCACCCAGTGCAGCAAGCTCCCATGTGGCAACGTCTTGCACAATTTCGCCAAGATAGCTCCACTTGTGACCGAGCATTGCAGGAGCCAGAACAGCCATCCGCCTATGGAAAGTGGGAACCGCCCGGAGCATAGCAGCGAAACCATTGCCGACGTCAATGGTGCTTTGATCAAAAGACGTATGGGGTAGCTTTGCGTAGCCGCACGATATGAATTCGATTGTTTGAAGTGAAGTGACGCGATCCATATCAGCCTTGGAATGATCGTTTCCAAAGTCGGATAAGTTAGTGCCCGGAGATATCTGGTCGATGATATTCATCCAGGAACCTTCACGAGGCTGTGATTGGAGTGTAGCTTGAGGTGTTATGCCATTCACATTCCCTGGTACTGCAGCATGCAAAGGTTGATTGAGTGGCCCAATCTGATGTTGCATTGTATGCACCTGTCCAGCCACATGAGCGACAGCGTTGATGACAGTAGTGGCATGGGGCTGTGCTGCCGGGTGTTGATGTGGAAATGCTGCCTGAACATGTTGCATGAATTGATGTTGCGTGAGCGCTTGGGGTGGATTCGCTGGACCTGCTGGCTGAGCTTGAGCATTCCCTTGTGCAGCAAGCTGCAGATTATGGAGCTGTAGCTGTAAAATGTTCTGTAAAACATTGATCTGATTCACATGAAATCCCACTGCATTCGCATGGAGATGTTGAAGTTGTGCCTGGAGCGTATGAACCGTAGTTAGTAGAAACACTTGTTGGTTTGGCGTTAATTGGGCAGGCTGAGGATGTTGAGCATGCTGACCACCAAGAGCCCCCCATATAACGGCTGCCCCAGGTTGAGGAGGGTTATGGAAAGCGAACGCATTGAAACCAGGCCCCACTTGATTTGGATCGGGGTTGGGACGTAGTATAGCAGTAAGGGATACCGAATCTAGTACGAGTTTCTGCATCTTATGCGAGTCGTGAATCTTGACAAACTGTAGCAAAGCCGGTGGTGTGATCCAGCAGTTCTTCAACGTCAACTGCTCGAGGTGGGGAAACTGTAGTAATGAGGCCCTGAGGCGAGTCACATCAGTCTCAACAAGCGCTGCAGGCTGGTAGGAAACCGGGTTTGTTGCACGAATTCGCAGATCCATGACTGGAGCAGGGAACAGGAGTTTGTTGCGCGCGTAAAGTCCCTCGGCATGTTCACCACCAGTGACCCAGCCAGCTGTCAAGTTGCGAATGTTTGGCCGACAAGCCACGTGGTCACGAAGTAGATCAAACACCAAGTTCATGCCTTGGATAGGGTTGATCTTGGGAGCATCGACAAAGCCTGCCTCATCCTTGTGGACTGTCCGCCAGCATGGTATCACCATAAGAGTGACAGTTCGTAGGTTTGGTAGTGCTTCCCAAAAGTCGGCGCGGTTGAGCATAGGTAGGTAGCGATCAGACAGACCGGAGATGTTCAAAGTGTGCACGGGCTGGAATGTGGTAGGGTTGTCAATGACGGACAACATATAGGACGACATGAAAGCTCGCTGCGCCCATTCAGTCTCCATTAACCACTCCTTCTGGGCTTTGGTGAGACTGGAGGGTATGATCGGACTCATAAGCATCCCGCCGTCGGATGTTGAGATGGGCGCTGTGAATAAAACACCCGTACCCAAGGGAGGTGGTGGCGATACAAAGCGCTCCAGTATGTATGGGTCATCAAAGGATGTAGGGATAGGCATTTCAGAAGTGTCCTGGGGAGGTGCCCCTTGTATCAGCTGGGGGTCCAGGTAAGGCATCTCTGGTTGCACATCTGCTAGCACGCTGGCATCCCTCAATTCGGAAAACGGGCGTTGTGTATCCAGTTTGTATAACATAGCCGTCCGAACGTCGCTACCGGCTTTTCGATGGGCAGCCTCAATGTGGTTCCAGAGCTCTTGCTGGGCTTGGACTCTGCGGTCGGGAATGGGTTTACTGGAACCGAAGACACTGGAAGGCTGTTGCAAGATGCGCGCCCGGATAGACTTATCCGGTCCACTCAGCCAACCCAGCCCGCTATCAACAGAGAGCGCGAGCTCCTTGACCTTGGTCAGCTCGGAGAAGGCGACGGTCATTCGCGGCGTTTCGTCAGCGGCAGTTTCAAGGCCAGCGACAGCATCGAAACGACGGTACTCCTCAAAAGGCCAGTCGTAGGTGCCCCAGAAGCTGGTCTTCTTCTCTGTAAGCGATTTTACAGGCGGCATAGAGAGAGAGTCTTCGTTGACTTGGAAGCTCATTCCGAACTTCCGAATGTGCCTACCAAAGCCGCGAAAGACGTCTAGACCGTGACCGTTGTATACCTCGTCGCCATTGGCATTTTTCCAATAGTAGCCGGGTTTTTCGAATCGGGCGCGTCTCTTACCCTTGAGATCGGGGTTTACGTCTTGTCCAAGCATGCCGTAGATCTCGGTATTAAAGGGAACAACGACTGTCTGGAATATGACTTGCGAGACATTGCGATTTAGCTCGCGACTAACAAGGCGCAGCGATTTGATGTCATCTCGGTTGAGGTGCTCGGCGATCAACTCAATCAGCTCTACGGGCAGCCTCCACTCAGGGCGACCGGCTGTATCACAGACAACTGGCTTTGGCTCGTCGGTCTTTTTAGCCGCTGCTGATGCTGCTGCTTTCTTCTTCCTGTTCTTCTTGTTGGGCCGGAACTTGCAAGTCGCATTGTGGGGAGTCTTGCCCTCGTCGATCAAGTAGTAGCGAGCCGGTAGTTTTGTTGCGCTGCGACACTCGGGCCAAATATCGTTTGCTTCGGGGTTTGGAGTGGCGCTGTCGTATAGTATGACAGCCACAGCGCCATCGTTGTGGAGTGCTTTGCCAATGTCTTGGTCGTCTGCGCTCTCGGTCCTGTCGTACGAACGCTTGGGCGCGGCATTTAGACCTCGGCGGGAATCATCGAAGGGTTGGGTATGCGCTTGGTCGTCATGACAGCCTGTATGCGGGTTGTAGCGGTGGGCCTGCTGCTCTCGTTGCGAATTGTTGGCGTTGTGGCCGGCTTGAAGTGGCCTGAGTTGCCGCGACGACTCGCCGGCATCTGGAATCCCGCGTGAGGCATTGTACTGCCTGATCAACCATTCATTGTCATCGCGTTGGTCTGGGAAGGTGTCGTCAAAGTCGTCGTCAAGCATGCCGTATTTCAGGGCAAGGGCAAGTTCTTGCTCATATGCATCTTCCGAATCCATGTCCTCCTCGCCTTGTCTCGGGTTTGTATTGCCTTGGCGTGTGGAAGCTGGTGCTGAGTGCCTGCCTCCTCTTCCTCGACCACGGTGAGAGGCGTTGCTGCGACTGGCGTGTCCGGTGGAGAATAAGGAATGCGACGACGAAGGGCGATTTGGTGCCAGTGCCGCTTCTATTGTTTCTGAATATGATCTCCTATGGTTGGAGGAGAATGACTGTGTGTTGGTTTGGTTGGCATCCGATGTCGTGGTCGCGCCTTCTGGGCGGGGAGAGTCGTCGGGATCCGCGAAGAGCGAAACAGGCTGTATAGTGTGAGCTTGTGAAAGGCGCCAGGCAAGCGTTGCATGTGACGTTTTACGTACCTGACTGGGTGTGTTATTTTCTGTCTCTTCCGTGTCCTGTTCGGCTGTCGTCCCAAGCAGGATACGGCGGAGAGCGGCTGCTCGATACATGACGTCTGCGGGCCTTGTCCTCTGGCTGCAATTATGTGCTACTATCTCGTCTTTTGCTCTGGGGTAGCCGTTCCTTCGTGGTTGGGGAGGATACAGGGAGGCACGAGGCTGTGTACCTTGGGCAGTCACGGGATGTGGTAGTCTGAAAAAACCTCCCCATGAAAGATAGCAACGTCAGTGGTTGCAGCGCGATGGTGAACAAGCGGGTTATTGCGGGTTACATGCTCCACCAGGCACGAGCAAGCCGAACAGTGGTTCACTTTGTTAGGCACGCTAACAGCCCCCGCGCCAATGCATCAGATGGCTGCCCTGCAAACGGATACCCATGGCCTGTCTGCCCACACGGGAATCGAGCATAGCTAACAAAATCCCATCAACTGGCTGGTAACCCTCAGACAAAATGCGGTACCCACGGCTGAGCACGGCGGGTGTGGCTTCATGCAGCTGCATCACAGACCAGGTGGGTGCGGGGCGGAATTCCGCTAAATCCTAGGTAACCCTCAGCAAGGCATCCCATGAGGTACTACTTATACCTGTGGCACGACAACAACTCAGCATTGGTGATAGCAAGTTCCCAGGTACCGCAAGCTAGCCTCCACAATGGCCGCAGATGCCCCATCGCCTTTCTTGGCATTGCCGCGCGAGTTGAGGGACGAGATCCTTGGCTACCTGACCCTGCCACACTATATCTATACATCGACTTCTACACCGGACACGCGGAACCTCTATCAATCGCGTCGGGCCTCGGGAAGTACGTACATCGATACGCGCATCAGGCTACCTTCGCGTCCGCCTGCAAATATTCTAGAGACTTGCAGACAGCTACGACAAGAGGCTCTTGAACACCATGCCCGTCTTCTCACGCCACAGTCGGCCCCGACCCTGCCAGACTGTGATGAAAATGATAAACAGCCCATGAGCAACGTACTAGCTGAAAGACTAGGCGCCGAATTCGCCGAAACAGCGGAGCATGCCTGTGACGATGGCACCCTACGAATCACGCTAGAAGTCCAGAGGTCCCTTCGCGGAGTCCACGGCTACTACGTCCCCGTACGCGAAGAACTGTCACCCCGCTTTCTTGCATTACTGCCGCTCATGGAAAAGGCAAGGAAGCTCAAGCTCACAATCTGGCCTGGGTTCGACTGGTGGAACGGTGGCCCACAGTCCTTCGACAAGCGTGGGAATCCCCTCTTCAACCGCGGTGAGACATCCAAGCCAAACGCTGCCTCCGTTGCAATCGGGAAAATTCTTCATTGCTTCCCTCAATTAGAGGAGCTTGATGTGGATGTGCTCGTGGATGCATTTGAAGCGGGTAGATGGGATCTGCCGGACCGAAAGTGGGAGAATATCCAACCCTGGTTAGATGCTGCAATCACGTCCAATGTGGGAGAATCCCTTCGGGAGATCACAAGGAAGCTCATAGCCTTCTGGAAAATTACGGAGCCTGAGCCTTTCTACACGCAGTACGAAACCCGTCAGTCGACAAACACATGGGATGTCAACAGAAAAGGCGATATGTGCACAGTACGTCCTCTCAAAGCTACCTAAACCCAGCCCATTAACAGCCAATGCAGGTTTCAATGAAGTCCCTCATCGACATCAGTGATGATGAAGAATTCTTGAAATCACTAGTCGTCAAAGGGTCTTTCGTACGCACGGATTAGATAGCAACAATTCGACATCACTTGAGAATCGCATGAGCACCGGAAAATTATTGTCTTACCATGCCTAGCGTCACTGATCTTATATTGTATTCAATCAAGCAACGGCGCAATCTTCGGTGGCGTCGAATGACTTGTGGGGAAACCCGGTTGGCGGCTGAGGAATGCATGTTTCGGAACATCATTGCAACATGCCCGAACCAACTTGCCGAGCAATGAATGCCGAATTTCGAGACCCCAATAGGCAATCACTTTCGCAGGTTCTTCCGTCTGGCATGTCGTCAGTAAACCGCCTGCGAAATCCACCAATGTCTGCTGAAGCTAGTGTCAAGACTGCATAGTCCTTAATCTTATCTGGGTATGGTGTACGTGGAAGAGGAGTAATCGCTTGATCTGGACTAGTCCTCGCAACACTTACTGCCATCTGAAACACGAGAGATGAACGGCTACGAGAATAGGTGCGATTTGGGAGCACGGCCGCACTTGCATAGAGATAGAAATGATGTACTTAAAGCTGTTCAAGCCTTCCCAAGCCGTTCATCCTGACCGCCAAATTTTCCGCTACCCCATTTCTGCGGTCCAACTCAAGATTCCAATATGAAGTACTCCGCCCTTCTTATCGCCAGCACGGCTTCCCTTGCTCTCGCAGCACCTGCTACGACCGTTCAGAAGCGGGCTGACTTCTGTGGAGATTGGGACTCCTCGGTCAACGGCCCATACACAACGTACAACAACCTCTGGGGCAAGGGCCAAGCCACCTCTGGCTCTCAATGCACTGGTGTCGACGGCCTCTCTGGTAACTCCCTCAAGTGGCACACTAGCTGGTCCTGGACTGGCGGGTATGTAATCCCTTTCGCTTTATACCCTTCACCCACTAACAGCCCATTAGCCAAGGCCAAGTCAAGTCCTACGCGAACGTCGTGACCAAGCTCACACCCAAAACCCTTTCATCCATCAAATCGCTCCCCGCAGTCTGGAAGTGGACATACTCAGGCTCCAACATCGTCGCTAACGTAGCTTTCGACCTGTTCACCTCATCCTCGGCCAGCGGCTCCAACGAGTATGAAATTATGATCTGGCTCGCTGCCCTTGGCGGCGCAGGTCCCATCTCCAAGACGGGCAGCCCCGTCGCCACTGTCACGCTTGCAGGTACCAGCTGGAAGCTGTACAACGGCATGAACGGCAATGTCAACGTATGGAGCTTCGTCGCGAACTCTCAGCAAAACAACTTCTCTGGTGACCTCATGGAATTCATGAAGTACTTGACGAGCAAGCAGGGTATGCCCAGCACTCAGTTCCTGACTAGCACCGGTGCCGGTACCGAACCCTTCTCGGGCAGCAACGCCAAGTTGACGACTACGGCTTACAGCTTGACTATGAGCTAGGTGGGTGTGGATGTGTAGGGTGAAGAAGAAGCCTTCTTGTATATACCTTTTCAAATCGGGTTTCCCATGTGTAATTACCTAGGGAAACTTTGATCTTGACGGAGCGGATCCGAAATATATTCTATTCGCGACACTTTCTTCATCATATCACCGTGTTAGCGTATCTGTGGCTCAGGTGGTTGTGCGCCTGCTCCCGAGATTCGCTTTTGGAGCAGGCAAGAGATACTGATAAGCGACAGACCTTCCATTTGTACGGTGTACCCACAACCAACATCTGGCCACGCGTTTGGACCTCGGAAGACGTTCTTCCTTTAGCTTCGATCTCACTGATCACCTGGGTGTCATCAAATACTTGACAGTGCGGGTAAGCGCCTGATAGGCGTGTCTGGCGAATACCGTGGCCTTTTTACACTAATATGTCAAGTATTTTATGACACCCGGGTGCGTCTGTACCTCGGAAGACGTTCGTTCTTTAGCTTCGCTCTTACCGATGCACCTTCTGTTTTGATGCAAGGCGATGCGCAGAATATTGACAAGCTTTTCCGTACAGTACAGAAGAATCTCGACCGCGCTTTGCGTCTGCGACCAATCGCAGCGAGGCGCCCACGCACATGTCTTGACCCATGCCACGCCGCTCTGCGCTCCAACGGTACCCCGATAGGTTCAGCAAATCAGGGCTGGGGTATTTTTTCTTGGTAATGACGAGCCGTCTTCTGCATACGTCCTGATGTTTGTACGTGGGAGATGTCGCCCCACTCGTAGTCAATCCTACATCCCGTGTCTAGCTGGAAGTACCGGAGCATGCCAGCTTCACGAGCTATGATTGGAAACTGCACATCCAGGAACTGTTATTCCTGCAAGCATGACGCAGTAGACTTGGGAGCCTATATGGAAGGAGCTCTCCAAGTAACGCGAAATGTCTAGACTTCTGGAGAATACAAAAGGGCTCAAAGAGCTTGATTCTCAATACTTTCCTAACTGGTATTCTTCTGATTCCAAGGACTGTTTATCAATATGAAGCTTCAATTTCTTCCGTTGCTATCGCTGGCATCGATTGCTAGCGCTAGCTGGTCAAAAAATCTCAACTACCGTTCGCCGTCAGAACACCATCCCGCCCTTGGAATATCGATTCACAAAGTAGTCAAGAGGAATAACCCAGGAAGCGCCTACGCACCTTCCAGCTTGAACTTCACACATGGTGTCGCCTCGGGTGATCCGTACCCCAACAGTGTTATCCTCTGGACCCGTATTGCACCCCAAAGCGATAACTCACAATCGAACGTCACAGTCACCGGCTACGCACCTCTTTTCGACCACGACAACGAAAAGTACGTCCATGTGTCCAAGTCGCCAATTTGTGTGGAGTACAAGGTCTATGAGAACAAGGATTGCTCGAAGGTCGTGGACTCTGGAAAGGTCTTCACCAGTTCCGATGTGGACTTTACTGTCAAAGTTAAGGCCAAGAACTTGAAGGCGTACAGCACTTATTACTACCAATTCAACGTTTGTGGCTCGGATAACAAGAGTCCTCTTGGTCGCACGAAGACTACACCTAATGCCGATGACGATGTTACCAGTGTTAGCCTTGCGATCTACAGCTGCTCAAACTACCCCTTTGGCTTCTTCAACGCGTACGGTAACCCAGTGCGAAAGGTATGTTGGTGGATTGCAGTATTCACGGAATTATCGGGCTGATTGTATCAGGACTCTGTCGACTACGTTGTGCATCTCGGGGATTACATCTACGAGTACAAGAACGGCGATTATGGTTGGGGCAACAGCATTGGTCGCATTCCTCAGCCAGATCACGAGATCTTCACACTTTACGACTACCGAAAGAGGCTTGCGACTTACCGCACTGACTTGGATCTCGTGGCCAGTCACCAGCAATTCCCTTGGATTCCTGTCTGGGATGACCATGAGGTTTCTGATAACACTGTATGTCATACCAATCGCTCCTTCCAAGCAATTACTGATACCTGACAGTACCGCGATGGCGCATCTGAGCTTAACAACACTGAAAACTCTTTTCTCCGCGATGGCGGTGTTTCAGTCGACCAGAGAAAGATGAACGCGGTTCGAGCGTACTTCGAGTGGATGCCCATCCGCCAGGTCGACATGGACGACAACCTCCGCATTTGGCGGTCTTTCTCCATCGGCAAGCTGGTAGATCTCATGATGCTCGACACTCGGCAGTACGACCGTTCGATCACTGACCTATACTGGAACACCGACTACATTCACGAAATCTCAAACGACGCCGGCCGGTCTCTTATGGGCTCCCGTCAAGAAAACTGGTTCTACCGTAGTCTTTCCGAGTCCGCTGAGCGCGGAGCAACCTGGCGCATTGTCGGTTCTCAAATCGTCTTCTCACGCGTCAACCAATCCGCCGCCTACGGTTCAGAGAATCCCCTAAACTACGATGCGTGGGATGGTTACCAATCGAACAGAAACCGTACGCTGCACCACTTGTACAGCAGCAAAATCAACAACAACATCTTCCTCGCAGGCGACAGCCACGCATCCTGGGTCAGCGACCTCGTCTGGCTAGGCGAAGAGGACTACAACTCCAGCACCGGCGCCGGCAGCATCGGCGTCGAGTTCGCCGGCTCAGCTGTAACATCGCCATGTCCCTACGGTGCAAACATCACCCTCGCAACCGCAAATAACTACTCCTCCATCATCCAATCCGCCAACGCTGAACTCCAATGGCAGGACCTGTACTATCGCGGATACTTTGAACTCCACTTCAGCCACGACGAGGTCAACGCTAATTTCTTTGGCATGCCGACCGCGGTGACGCGCAATGGCTGGGAAATCCCGCTTGCAAACTTTACAGTCAAGAGTGGGGAGAATAGACTGCAAAGGCCGGTTGCGGGTGGTGTTGTTGAGAGCGGAAGCTTGAAGGGTGGCAAGACGGTGCAGAACAATTTGACGCTGGATACGAACAATGGCTCGTGGTTTGTCAGTCGTGCTAATTTGGAGGTCTTGTAGATAGCCATCCGGGCCGGTATGTAAGGTCCTGCAAAATAAAAGTTTGTTGTTATGGTATCATGGTGGTAACTTTGGAGCTCCGCAGAAAACTTCGGGTCCGTTGTTGCTGATGAATACGTAATAGAATATATTCTTACTTTTTGCGCAGCAGTTCAGGAGGGAGCTCATCCGTTGTCTTGGAGCTTTGGAAGGGTCCACCAATATTAGCGAGCGCCCCGAAATGCTGCAGGTGGTACAAGTCTCTGGGACTCTCAAAGGACCGAAAAAGTACATTTTGACGGACTAAGCGCGCTCAGGGGGACATTTGGAATGGGAAATTTCATGAGCGGAAAGGTGAGGATGGGAGGGCGGGGAAAGATGTTGTTCGGCGCTTGGCGGGCTTGGTGTATCTACGTAGTGATGTCATCTCACCAGCGTTGAAGATGACAGTCACTCCTTTCTCCCTTCTGCACGAATTTCGAAATGCACTAATCACAAGTCTCTTGGAACTTACAGCAAAATGCATCGCGCGTTCTAGAACGTCAGCGCTATGGCGGCATCGGCATGAGCGTTGGGAAAAAGTAATGACATCTTACGGAGGTGTTGGGCAGAGCAGACATCGGTGCGGCCCTTCCTCCACAGCCAAGCAACGCCCAAATGCGTTCCGTAAGCGCATCTCCGCAGCCCCATAGGAAGTAACGGGTTAGTAGAGCGATTAACCATCTTGACAGCGCATGTACGGACACATGTAGAAATCGGGCAAAGTACCTCCACATCTGACCTAATGCGGTTTACACAGCCCCGCGAGGGTGCATGTCACTACCCAAAGAGGAAGTCTTGGTGAAGGTACTAGCGCAATTCAGCATCTTAGGTAAGATCACGGAACTTGATCTACCCGTACTAAGGCGGCTAGGCGATATCTTGGGAGTCGATCATACACTGCAAAGGATATGTTTTGTTTAGCAAAAGACCACGGGAAGAGACGGAAGGTGCCGTTACCAAGACCCTGGACGGCGGTTTTCCACAGTATGGGAGATTCTTGTTGGCGCGGACATGTTGAGGCTTCGCGATGGAGATTCTTTTTGACCGGGGTTTAGTGATCCGCTGGGGTTATGAGCGCTTCACTATTTCGCTTTGGGCTGTTTGTCCTTTCAGATACGGTCTCCAAGACTTACTAACTAGGCTTTTGGTCATAGTCTTGTGTCCATCTATGCTCTTTTTGCGCCGGAAAGTATGTTTTCAGCTATGTGGTTGTTGACTTGGCTGCGGCGGTCCGGAAGCCTTCACCAAGACACCGGCGGGTCATCTCCCAAGGGCTTACCAGTAAGCGGTAGGTGCGGTGCGGGAACTGACGATGTCATCGGGCACCCGCAGGAGAGGCAGAGTTGTGAAATTGGTACCAAGAGTAGAGACCCGGGGGTATAAAGGACTCCTTGTTTCCCTACTCTCAAGGGGCATCCATCAGCATCACTACATCTCATCTCTCCAACCGACTACCATCTTCAATCCCAAACACCAACTACAATGCATTTCACCACTACCGTCATCGCCGGCCTCGTCGCCGCCCCTCTCGCACTCGCCGCGCCCTCGGTCCTTCCAGGCAACATCTTGACCGGTGATTACCGTAGCTCTTACTTCGACGCCGAATACACGGTCAATGCTACACCCGATCTAGTCATCGCCAACACTGGCGAGGCTGTCCCCGGCCAACCTGGAGCAACTGGAGTATTCAGATACGGCATCAACGTTGCCGACAACGTCATTTGCTACAACATCAAGCTCAGCGGTGTGACCGGCGAATACAAGAGCCCGGCGGCTACTGCGACGCATATCCACGAGGGTGTTGCGGGTAAAGCGGGACCACCCAGAATTGTAAGTTATTCCCTTTTGCCAATGCGTCTCTCGCATGCTGTTACTTTATATGTTGAGTCATCTACTAATCTCTCTTCAACAGGCATTCCCCAACCCCACTGGCACTGACAGCTGCCGTACCTCGGTCGGCTGCTTGAAGGGACCCTTCATCACTGGTATCAAGAACAACGCTACCGGCTTGGACCAGGGTGATGGTTTCAATGTTGGCAAGATTCTTGCGAACCCCTCCGGTTTCTTCACTGATACACACACTGTCGAGTACTCAGCTGGTGCCGTCAGGGGACAGCTCTGCAAGTAGACTCTGAGTTGAAAAGTT